GAGTTAGTAGCAAGAATTGTAGCTAATAACAAAACCTATAAAAACTCCATACATCATTTTGCGGAATTCTGTTGATGAAAAAAGTTAGGGGCAAATGAATGTAAATGAATGCATGAAATGAATGTAAATGATTTTCCATGCCTGCCTGTGGGGGAAAACATAGTTTCGGAGAAAACCCTCCTAATTTTCCGACAGAACTGTAAGGATTTTTACGTAGCAATCCTTCGTACAACGCAAGACCGATCACCATTGTCATACCCTATGACCAGATATGTTTCTTATCTCGATCCTGCTGTTCTATCGAATTCTCCTGAAACTGCTAAACAAGCAGTTGAATTTTTGTCTTGAACAACTAGTGGAGAAGAATAATATTAATGGTACGGTAGCGGACAAAAATTATGGTGGAATATAATGAGTTGTGCGATGCTCTTAATTTTAAGAAAATTTTGAAAAATTATCGCTGAAGTCAGATTTGGACAGATTGTGGATATGACTTATGAATGTTGCTGGCAAAGATGTTCCAAACCTTATGGGTTTCGTCACGAAAATTATTATATTGTCGCATGGAAATGCCACGCTGGAACAGGGATTTTTCGTTAATAAGAAGTGTTTGGTGATCAACCAGACAGAAGAAAGTCTTGTGGCTCAGCGCATTGTGCATAATGCAATATTTAATGCTGGAGGCGTGACGAAAGTCGGAATCACGAAAAGTTTTGTGCAGTATGCCAAAAACTCCTACGATCGGTACAAGGAAGCTATCGATAGGGACAGCGATGCTGAAAGGAAACGAGTGTAAAATTCATCCATTCAAACATTGCAAGTTTTCTGTTACACATTCTACCGAAGGCTTCGTGTTCGGAGTGTTAATGGCATATAAATGCCAATATCGCTAGGGACCACTGTACCCATTTAGTTAAACCAGGATTAAGGCTTGAGCGGAGGTCAAGAAATTGGTCTTAAGCTGCTTGAATACAGTAGACGTTAGCTAAGTGAAAAACCTTGGACTACAAATACTCAGTTAATGGATATTTATCTGTTCAAATTTAATTTCAATTTGTTTTCATGAACCGGTTGAGCACTGATGTATTTTAAATATTTTTTATTATGTGATTTGACGCAATGATATGCATTTTAGTTAGCGAATGCCCTTGTGTTGGTGAAAAGTCGACACAGCTCAGCGAACGTTGCATATATTTAATGGAATAATTATTTTACTTCTGTTTTTTTCAAACCAGTTGAGTATGCATACGAAGCATATAATTTGAAGTATTTCACTAATATAGTTAAGACATTTCTCTGATGTAGAAGAATTATAGGAAAAATGCAAAACTCATATATTTAAAGCTTTGTTCAAAAACCAAGGAATTTAATAGAAGAAACCAGGAAAACCGGGAAAAAACCAAGAAATTTGAAATCAGAAATTCACTTGCCACCCTGCTTACTTCATTTTAGTAAGTCTAAGATTACAACATTTTTAATGTCGTGACGTTTCGTACTAACAAAAATGTGGAAACATCAATGAAGTTCTATTGATCTCAGAAAAGCTAGATCTAGAGATCTTTGGGGGATTCCAGAGATCTTAACGGGAAGCCCCCGAAACTTTAACCCAGACTATTGAATTAGTTTAAAAATCTATAAGCGTGAGTTGAGACAAATTCTGGATAGTTCCATGATATGCTGGAATAAAATCGAGAACCCATGAGATGGTCCGAAAGATTCAGTACAGAGACCTTCAGAAAATTTCAGAAATATTTTAGGAACTTCACTGAAATCCAGAAAATTCCAGGGAAGTTTAAAGGTTTTCAGGAGAATTCCATTTATTTTAAAGCAGAACCGAGATCTTCATTAGAGTTAAAAGTTCTAGGGAAGCTTCGAGAACATCTAGACAGATAAGAGAATTAAAGGGCAGTTCAAAACATTTCAAGGAATAGCAGAAACCTGAATTTCCGGAAACTTCGGTTTGCTCAGAGAAAATTTCTGGAACGCAATAAAAATTGTATGAACATCTATAAAATGTGAGAGTATTTCAAGGGTGTTATATCATGAAGATCTAAAAAATCGAAAATTTAGCTAAGTTGATTAGAGAACATCAACGAAGTTCCATTAATAAAAAAAGGGAAGAAATTTTAACAAGCATCGATATTTTCAACTTCATAAAACTTCAGGAAAATTGTAGAACCTAAAGGCAATTCAATCAAGTCCAGTAAATGGTGGGTTCTTTTAAAAAAATACTAAGATATTCAGGGTAGTCTAGAAAATTTTAAGGAAATTGAGCAATATTTTGGGTAGTTTTAAAAACATTAGGAAACTCTAGACTATTGAAGAAGTTATAAATTAGTTTCGATAATTTGAACTTCAGACAAATCTTGAGAACCTCAGATCATATAACTATATTAATAATTTCGCTGCGGAAGCTTAAAGATGTTCCTGAAATTTCAGAATAACTTCGAAAACTTTACAGAAATACAGAGATCTTCAGAAACATTTCGAGAACTTCATAAAAGTCTATGGAACTTAAGGGAGTACTTCAGGAACTTTTATTGACATTTCGGGAGCATCTCAAATAATTTTATGCAGTTAAGCCCCAAAAACAAAGGGGATTTCAGGGGAGTTTAGTTTCATTAGTTTCACTAAATTAGCGGGAAAATTCAAGAAGGTCCCAGATTTTCAGAGAACTTTAGAGATGTTAAGAAAATTATTGAGGTTTTCACATAAGTCCAGAAGTTCACGCAAGCTTAAACGTTTTTAGAACTGTTCAAATAGATTCATGGTAGTTCAACAAGCTTCATGAGAACTGCAAAAACTTTAGAGAAGTTTCGAGAACTTCGAGAAAGATATTGATCTCGCTACTAAAGCTATACACAAAAAAAAAAAAACTTCAAGAAAGAACAGATATCAAGCTGAACATTGCATTAGGTCCTAAGTAACATTGATCGATTCTCTTCGTTGACTTTCTCTTTCGTTAATTACTTGAGCACAGAACATGCTAGATAAAAGCGTCTATTATCGATCTGTGTGCTGAAAATACCTGGGAATGTCTTTATATGGCCGTGGAAGAGAGAAAGTCGACGACGAGAATCTGTCAATGTTACTTAGGACCTAATGCAATGTTCAGCTCGATATCCTCAGAGCAAAGATATTCCAGAGCAGGGAAATTACTTAAATCATAAAAAAAGTTTCGATAAATTCAGTGAATTGTTAACACTTTAGAGAAGATTCATGATCGTTAGGAAAATTGTGGAATCTTTAGGAAGCCCGAAAAAGTTTAGAGAAGTTAAAAAAAATGATGAGAAGTATTGCGAGCATCAGGCTAGTTTCTCAAACTACTAAAGAACTTCAAGGCAATTATTAGATGAAGACCTCAGAATAGTCCATTTCATATTCAACGGAGATTTCTCATGAAAATTCGCTTGGAGTTTACTATCGTAGGCATAGGCTTCACATGAAGTTTAAAATTTCTCAGAATTACCATGAAAGCAGATTGCAGTTGATGTTTTTCTCATAGATTTTTTTTTTCCAGAACTCCAGTGAAATGAGGTCATTAGTAATAATAATAAAATTCCATGAGCCCTAAAACTGTGCAAGGATTTTGACTCCAGATTCTAGAAAATTTCTTAAAGTATCATAACTTTTCAGTTCAGCATTTATAAAATTTGTGGGAAATATGCATATTCAAGAACAAAAAAAAAAAAATCATTTGAAGCCTCTGAATTTTAAAAATGTATTTGTTCAATGTGTGAAAGAAAATAACTAGGAATATTAATTGTTTTTATTTTTAAATTTCCTGATACTTCTAGGTTTCAAGACAAATAAAATTCCTTGCGAATTCCAGGTTTTTCAAGTTTTTCTCCAGATAGTAGAAGCTTAGAGGTTTAGTGTTAAACTTTCTATTGAATCTTTCGGTTTAAAGGTTCCTATTGTACATCTATAAGTGTTTCTGAGAATCTAATTGAATAAGTCTAAAACATCAAACATTTATTTGGTATGCCATCAGAACGAATAATTTTCTTCCCTTAGGTCGCTTTATAGTCCCTTTTTTACAACTATAAGTCACTATTTGGTCACTTATTTCTTCAAAATGGTCACTAACATCACTATTTTCGACAGCACTGATCGCTACCAGACCAGCCCTGTCATTTTAAAATTTTCATTTGCTGATCATCATGAACTTTGATAAGAAAAAATCTATTTGAGAGGTTTCGATACAGTTGGAGGAGAAATAATGGCGAAATATATGAAAAGTTAATAGCAATTTTAAATGACTGCCCGTAAAAGCATAACAGTCACATCTTTGCTTGATTTCCTATTTAAATGGGACTGTCATGCGTTTATGTGGGTAGATACTCGGCAGAACTGTTCCCTTCGAATTTTTGGCGAAAATAAGTTATACATTGGAATCGAATTGTCAACTACCATGACTTAACAATGGACACTAAAAGTTTCCTACTTAGTTTAGAAAGCGTCATGAACAATACCAAAACTATTTTATCCCATCCACAAGAGCCAATAGAGAAAACAGGACAGTTTAGGAATACGCTTAAAAAGTAATTCTCATGACGGTAAAGATTTATTACAAAGGCAATATATCAGGTAAAAATCTGAAATGAATGTGATTAAATTTAACTGTATATCGAATTGTATGTAGCAAAAAATAACGCGATAAAATGCTTATGATTTAACTTATCTTTCATCAAAAACGTTGCAAGTTGAAACCTAGGCATACACATTATATACTATGATTCGAAGCATCTGACTATCCATTGACTGATTTATTTCCATTCAATTCAAACGGATCCTATAACACTTGAAAGAAACTACCTTCTATTTCTGGAACACCAATTGAAAAAAAAAAAAAATACCGTATCTCCCGAATTTCTTTGCCAGCAAGATTAACGCAAGTTTTCTGTTTTCTTTTCCCCCCATCAAAACCCTAAACAAAAAACCATTCTTGTCCTATTTTTCGAACCGTCGTCCTCATCATCATGATCATCGCACCACAGATATATCGAGCTGTTCCGCAGTAGCACTCGTGAACTGAAGTGGGCCGAGAAACGTCTGCGGCGTATGTCACCGTACGGCGGCAGTGGCGGTGGCGGCGGCGGAGGTGGTCGTAGCAACTCGAGTAACGATGGCAACGATAGCAACAGCCGTGCGCGCTTCCCACCGGGTCAAGGTTACGGTCGGGGATCGGGCGGCGGAGGTAAGAGCTCTTTGCGAGCAGTTTCCTAGCGAGGGAAATGTTGACCCAATGTCATGCCCATTCCAGATGACTACGATGATTCTCCATCCGGTGGTGGTGGTGGTGGCGGTATTGGCGGTGGCAGCAACTGGAGTACTCGCGATGGCAATGGCTTCGGCGGAGGCAACAGCTTCGGTGGCGGAAATAGCTACGGCTCCACCGGTGGTAACAACTACGGAAGCAGTGGCGGCGGTGGCAACATGAGCAGCGGTGGCGGCGGCGGCGGCGGTGGCAACATGTACTCCGGTGGGTTGGCCAACAATACGGGCAACATTGACATCTTGAGATTGTTGCAGGATCAGTTGAGTAAGTGGCTGAGTGTTCTTCGTAGAGGCTCACGTTGAATGAGTGAGAACGAGTGAGTCCGGCGCGGGGTGGTGGGTTTCGACATAAAACGTTGCTGGTTTGCTTGTTGAACAAAGGTAAATTGCATCGACTTCATCCTCCATTGCGTGCGCATTTTGTAACTAAAATCCTACGAATATTGTCCCATCTTGACAAGCCGCCAGCATCACAACTCAGATGGTCCTCACAGCCCTCAACGAAATTCGATAACCCAAGCAAACCTGCTTCAGTGTCAAGTTCATTATCAAATGTCTCTTCTTTCAGAGCGTGGCGGAAGCACCAGCTACGGTTCGGGACGCGGCAGCGGTGGCAATTACAGCACCGGAGGTAGCGGCTTCGGAGGCGGTAACTTTGGCAGCAGCAATGACAACACCGGCTCCGGAGGATTCGGCTCGGACCGTGGCTTCCGCTCCACTAGCGGTGGTGGCGGTGGAGGCGGGGGTGGTGGCCAACTTGGTGGCAACAATTACAGCAGCTTCGGTAGCAACACCAGCGGCGGCGGCGGTGGAACCAATTTCACCAGCAATGACTTTTTCAGCAGCGGCGAACAGGATCTGTTCTGCGTACATCTGAGAGGCATGCCGTTCAGTTGTGACGAGCAGGACATCTACGACTTCTTCATGCCGCTGAGACCGGTCAAGTCTTCGGTTTCATTCGACTCCAGAGGTCGTCCGTCCGGCGAAGGTGACGCCTACTTCGACACCATGGAGGAAGCGATGAAGGCCATGAAGAAACACAAGGAGAAGATGGGTTCGCGGTACATCGAGCTCTTTGCTGGATCACGACGACCGCAAAGCAAGTTTATGGATTGAACTACTACTCCGATTGCAAGAGATTCAGCAACACTCGACATGGTGACAAGTGAAGAAACTTAGCTTCCAGATGTGTAATTTCCCGACACAAATGCATTGATTAATTCGAGTTCAACATTTACTACATTCGCTCACAACCACACATAATATAAACAAACAGCTAGAGAGTAAGTGTCGGGGTGGCAAACCTCCCGGCAATCCACCATTACATTTGAGAGAAAAAGAAAAGCACTTAACAACTTCGAAGCTAAATCACTTTTCATTTATTTTAGGTTTTAAGATAGGAAATATTGTTTTTCAGTTTTTAAACGTTTGAAAAATAACGCAATTTATCGAAGGAACAAAACATAAGAGTGTGTGGTAACTTAACCGAAGGCGTAACTAACTCAACTTACCAGGTCACTAGTTTGTAAACACAAAAAATAAGAAAACATTGAATACATCAGTATCTATGCTTCAGGATCCTAATCGATCGTTGTTTGGTTTTAAATGAAAGAAATTCCATTATACATTATCGCTCTTATTCCCGCTCTCGAATCAATCGATTTCGATTAGTAATTTCCATTTAATTTAATTTAATTGCAAATCCCTCCCCTTGCTAGTTTTTGCACGGGGCTGTCCATAAACTACGTAGACAGTTTTAGGGGGGGGGGGGTTAACAATTATCCACGGCCCATACAAATTTTAATTTTTTTGTATGGACAATTGTCTACGCAGGGGGAGGGGGGGGGGTGAAGAATCCCAAAAAAACTGTCTACGTAGTTTATGAACAGGCCCCACCTTGTTTGCTGGGCGGGCTTAATTTCATGCTTTTTAGTGGAGTGTTGGAGACGGTAGGTTTATGGCCAGCGTTGATGGCTCATGTCATGATAGAATGGCGCCATGGGCAGGCAATGGGGATTACTAAGCTTCCCCTCTCTGATAAACCATTGCATGAGAAAACCAAAGATCTAGTCTAGCAGTGATAGTATCACACTTATTACTACTTTGTTTGACAGCCGCGTTGTAGTACGCTTACGTATAGGCATTGACGTTGGGTGCGATACTGGCGGGTTTTTCCGCAAATCACTCTAATTTTATTTATTTTTACGCAGATAGATTTATTTGGCTTTGCAAGAGAATTACACTATTGAAATATTTCAGAAAGTGCCCAACAGTGCTCCTTCTATTTGCGTGACAAGCTTTCATTGTTGTTTTCATTGAGGTATTACTCAGGGAACAATGTTAAACGCCATTTTGGTACATGGTATTGTAACTAATCTTATATGTGCTGCATTTTGATTTGGGATAAGTGTTTGAACTATGGCTCGGGATTTCCACTGTGGTGTGCTTCTATTGTGACATACCTATATGAATTTTTGTGGTGTGACATAGTGGAAACGTGAGAGCGTAATTGGAACATTTACCCTTACAATTTAAAATTAGCTAGAAAACTAACTTCAAAGTGAAGCATTTTAGTCACTTGAAGGTGTCACCTGGGACGATCAAAGATATAATTAATATATGTCAAAGCCAGAAAAACTTGAAATTATTAGATAGAGATTTCAGTTATTTATTAAATAAGAATAAATAATCATCAAATGAACTTCAATAAGAGAATTCAGAAAGTCAATTGACATAAGAGATAGGACGCGGGGGGCAGCTTTAGAGTTGTATAATAAATCTTCCTATTTAGTATATTTGTTAATTACATTATATCCATCAACAAATACAAACTACAGTGTAAATCAACATTATGTGTCAAAGGAGGAGGATAATCAGAATTATTTTATTATATTCTTGTTATAAATCGTTATATAATCTATTAAATTCATTAACGTCATGAATCACACTGATAAGCGGAATCTAAGAACTTAGCTTTATGTAAAGGCAAACAAGATAAAAAATATCATATCCGAAGATGGCCTAATATGAAAAATGTATCCGTATCACCCGGCAAAACGTGCTTTATGAGGCATCATGTGCTTGGAAAAGCAGAGGTTCTGTACGTCTACACATTACAAAATCTCAGCATAGCTAATAAACATGAATAAGTTGAACATTCAAGATGGATGGGGATGGTTAGATCGAAACATACAATTTTAAATATGACTATACGATGACAATGTATTGCTTTTCTATTAATATTTGAGATTTTTAGCCGTAGGCTAGGTTTATCTCGTAATCTCGGCTCGAACTTAGTGGCAAATAGAATTGTTTATAGTTAATTTTTTTCTGAAAATCATGACATCCAGCAACCAAATTTATAGGGGAAATGGCTCTAATGTTGGCCTATGGATCTAAGATTGGGTCCATCGCTTAAAAATCTGATATTTATCAATTTTATCAAGATGAACGCGCCATTCGGGATGGATATTTTTGGTCACTATTGAAAATTAACTTAGAGTTGCTCAAAATGAACTCAAATGTTACTCACGATCAAAAGCTGTCTTGCCACCAGGCGAAAGATATCGACAAGCTCTGTGCATCAAAAATTTGTGCCTTCTAAAGATCTAAAAGTTATTTGAAACCACCTTTGTTGAGAAATTTTAAATAAGAAAACAAGAGTAAAACAACTGTTTTTCAAAGACACCCAAACTCAATTCAAGAAAGTTGCTCTAAATCGGTCAATTTAGGAGATACAAAAAAGTCTTTTAACAAAATTGCTTTAAATTAGCTCAGCTATAACTTTGCTAAAGAATGTATATCTTAATTTCTTCACCCAAAAAAGTTAGATTTTTTTGATTTTAATGATATTAAGAACCACCCCAGAATTAAAAAATGAGGGCCTTAGTATAAGGAACAACTTTGCAGAAGAGACTTTTAGTCTAAAGTTTCAATTTCAGGCTCAAAACATATCCTTCGACCTAAATCTACACCACTGTGCACTGTGTTTAAAAAAAATCCTCATAAATTTCGAGTCACTTTTGTGTCACTTAATGAGCGATTATGGGCGTCCCTTTTTGGCACATAGTGGCCAGAGTCACGTCACTGGAGCGATTATGAGCCTCACCTTTTGTCACTCAGTGACGAGAGTCACGGTACCAGAGGGATTATGAACGTAACTACGTCTACGATTACGTCTATCATTTCTATATGGGGGTACACTTTGTGAAAACCGAAAATGGAACATGTAATAAAAAAACGAAAGATTTTGAACGTTAATAACTCAGCTGCCCCAGGACTAATTTTAATAATTTTATCACCAATCGATCATATATATTTCTACACATCTATTAAATTTAAGATTTATATATATTTTTTAATGTCACAATTGAAAATTGAACGAATGTGCATCTGTTGCTTTGATAATTAAAATTATCACTGATTGCTTGATCACTTGATTTCCCTAACACATATTTCAAAGTTGAATTCCATCCGGTCTCACCAAACGGTGTTTATTCTCAAGTACACAACGAACGGCTACCTCATGGTGGGTATATAAATGGTGATCAGCTTTGTCACTATATAGGCGATGAGGTCGCGGGGGGGAAAAGTGCGGTTTTAGAGCAAATTATAAACAAACTCGGTCGCTGTCCCATACAAAAATCCAATATGGCTGAATCATGAATTTGACCCATTAGAACACCTATATGTAGTCACCTTGGGCTACCAGCAAGCTGCGAGCTGCAGCCCACATGACCATCCATAGAAGGAGGAAGACTAACCCCCACTGGCCGGCAGTGTTATTATGGAAGAACTCTCTCTACAATGTCGCATTTATGGTCATTGTAGACAGCTTTAGTCCGGGAGTTAGAAGGTGATAGCTCTATTGCAGATCCAGCATTCCATTTCAGAATGTCTGGAGAGTCACGCCCATTCCGAGGTTACTTTCACTTACAATAAGCCCCGCATGTATGCATCACCGTTATCAAATGGATATTGGTGATACATACACACTTCCAGGTTCGAAAATATTCTTTTCAACCCTGGCATGTATTTAGTGTAATTTTGATTTTTTTTTTTTTTAAATAAATGGAAAGCTCTCACCATATTCTGCTCTTCCGCCGTCGTTATTTGCTTCTTTTGGAATCCCTTGGACTTTTTCTCTAACGCTTCGTATTTCATTCCGGGCTTCACCGGCAATTTCCTTCCGTAGACCGTCCTTGGTTGGTTGGTTCTAATATGATTCCGCATTTTTTGGCCGGTTTGATGTCCACCATATGTTATTGAATTGCCATGGTGATCTGGGACGAGGCTCACGTCCAAAGTCACTGGTCCATCGAGCGCTCCGTTTGCGAAAGGAGAATGAAAGAAATACGAAAGGGATCAGTTTCAAGAAGTGACAGTTTCATCAGATTCCCCAACTAACCATACTCAAGCAAAGTAAGAATATACAAGCTATATTGCGACTATATGGTTACTTGGGTACTCATATGGCCGTCAGAATGGTTCATCGGTTGCGAAGTGAAGTATTTCTGAAAGTGATGCGTAATATTTCTCAATGTTTTGAATTTATCCTAACGTTACCTCAATGTTATTTCACAGACAAGCATACACAACACATTGAAAATTTATAATTGTAAACCCTACCGCCATCTGTCGTATATACTTTAATGGGCAATACACTCAACAGATGGTTGTAGTGTGTAAACGTCAAACGCTGGGGAATTGATTATGTGCACCACAAATGGCAGTACTACCAAATAAGAAACATTTAAATTGACCGTTAAAAACGATTTTTATGAACGTTTTAAGAGTGTTATGTCTGCTTTTCTGTGATCATACCTTCACTATCGCAACTTCGGGTAATCTGCGGAAGTACTAGCATTTTTCTCAGGCACTTTTGAGCTAACTGCAATTACTCTCTCATACTCGAAATGTGCCACGACCAAATTGGCACAACGACGCCCTATACGCTCTCTGACCGAAGCGCAGGGGTGAGACGTAAACGAACATGTCATGTAAAATTAAGTGCTCCGAGACTGACAAGTTCGGTACTCGACGAAAAGTACGTTTGATTCAACTATATTTCGCGTCTTTTATGACTCAATTTTATGTCAACATTGACGCTCGTATATGTCAGTCTCAGAGCACCTACATTCAGGGTGCCTTCCATTCATTTTGGCTAAACAAATGTTTTATTAAATTATAGAATAATAATATATTATGATGATATTTTGTATGTGTAAGTAACAAGAAAAGATTGTAATGTTTGTGTTTGACGCATAAAACCTGCAAATTTAGCTTTGGCAGAGTCACAATGAGCGATTTTCTAATCGCCTCTTCGCGAAGAGTGAAGAACGAAGAGTGGGTGAAATAAATGACAAAATCGCTTATTGCGACACTCGTGTAGCAAAATTGGCAGGTATTATGTGCCAAACACAAACTTCCCAGTCTTTTCTTGTTGCTTACACAAACAATATATTACTATAATATCTTATTGTTCCATAATTTAATAAAACATTATTTATCCAAAATGAATGGAAGGCACCCTGCCTACATTTACATTATTTTTTCTAAGTGTGTATGTCAAGTGCGTCATACTA